ATAAATAGGTTTAAAATAAACCCACACCTTCTGAAGTGCGAAAAAATTCCCACAAAACGGGGCCTAGTTTTTCTGTCTCTACACCAGCTTTCAAAATATCAGAGGCTGGAATAGAGTCTAATTATTACAGAGCTGTATGCACTGTCAGAATTACTTCCAAGTGTTGATCTGTTTCTGCAGCAGAAAGAGTTGAATATTGATACAACATGATATAGAGCTATACATTTACTGATTTTACCATTTTGAATTTACTTGTGCAGCAAAAAGTGCTTTGTTGAGTTCCACTATATGTCCCTTTGGATGCTGAATCGTGCTCCTTATAAGCATTTCATTTCATTGAGCTAAAGGGGCCTGTTTCACAAAAACTGAATTATAGATTTTAGTGTTCCAGAGTTGGTCAATCATGAAAATCAAATTTATATCAAGTGCTGGAAGGGCTCATTGGATGGCAAGGGTATACTTTCCTTACTGAAACACTTTATGACTGGGTTTGTCGAACTAGCATCCATTTTAGAGAGTTCACAAGTGAAAGTTGATCATAGTTAATCTATCACTAAGAGTATATGGGAAGTTTTTAGATAATACAATTTGGTAGAAATTGTTTATAAAATTTTCAAGTACTTAGTCTTCTGGTTGTCTTTTTCTACAAAAAATCTCAGATAAAAATCTGTCATAAGTGTGAAAGTTTACATGAGAAAAAACACACAAAGTAAAAACATGAAGTTTTCTGAGAAAAAAAAACCAATACTCTGTTTCTAGAAATATCTCTAGAAAACAGAAAGTAAAACTTGGTAACAATTTCTAAAAGTCTTACTGTACTATGGTCATAATACAGAATCACACTGTAGTAAAAGAAGAAACCGATGTTAGAAGGACAGATGTAAATGCTGGTAAATACAGTTTTGAGCTGCAGTCAGACATAACTGGTAAATACAGCCAAATCAACAGTCTAGAGCTCTAGTCAGACATAACTAGTAAAATAGAGCCAAAGCAAAATTTGAGAGCTCTAGTCAGACATAACTAGTAAATAGAGCCAAAGCAAAATTCGAGAGCTCTAGTCAGACATAACTAGTAAATAGAGCCAAAGCAAAATTCGAGAGCTCTAGTCAGACATAACTAGTAAATAGAGCCAAAGCAAAATTCGAGAGCTCTAGTCAGACATAACTAGTAAATAGAGCCAAAGCAAAATTCGAGAGCTCTAGTCAGACATATCTAGTAAATAGAGCCAAAGCAAAATTCGAGAGCTCTAGTCAGACATAACTAGTAAATAGAGCCAAAGCAAAATTCGAGAGCTCTAGTCAGACATAACTAGTAAATACAGCCAAATCAACAGTCAAGAGCTCTAGTCAGACATAACTAGTAAATACTGCCAAATCAACAGTCAAGAGCTCTAGTCAGACATGACTGGTAAATACAGCCAAATCAACAGTCAAGAGCTCTAGTCAGACATAACTAGTAAATACTGCCAAATCAACAGTCAAGAGCTCTAGTCAGACATGACTGGTAAATACAACCAAATCAACAGTCTAGAACCCTAGTCAGACATGACTGGTAATACAGTTAAACCAACAGTCTGGAGTTGTAGTCAGACATGACTGGTAATACAGTTAAACCAACAGTCTGGAGTTGTAGTCAGACATGACTGGTAATACAGTTAAACCAACAGTCTGGAGTTGTAGTCAGACATGACTGGTAATACAGTTAAACTAACAGTCTGGAGTTGTAGTCAGACATGACTGGTAATACAGTTAAACCAACAGTCTGGAGTTGTAGTCAGACATGACTGGTAATACAGTTAAACTAACAGTCTGGAGTTGTAGTCAGACATGACTGGTAATACAGTTAAACTAACAGTCTGGAGTTGTAGTCAGACATGACTGGTAATACAGTTAAACCAACAGTCTGGAGTTGTAGTCAGACATGACTGGTAATACAGTTAAACCAACAGTCTGGAGTTGTAGTCAGACATGACTGGTAATACAGTTAAACCAACAGTCTGGAGTTGTAGTCAGACATGACTGGTAATACAGTTAAACTAACAGTCTGGAGTTGTAGTCAGACATGACTGGTAATACAGTTAAACCAACAGTCTGGAGTTGTAGTCAGACATGACTGGTAATACAGTTAAACTAACAGTCTGGAGTTGTAGTCAGACATGACTGGTAATACAGTTAAACTAACAGTCTGGAGTTGTAGTCAGACATGACTGGTAATACAGTTAAACCAACAGTCTGGAGTTGTAGTCAGACATGACTGGTAATACAGTTAAACCAACAGTCTGGAGTTGTAGTCAGACATGACTGGTAATACAGTTAAACCAACAGTCTGGAGTTGTAGTCAGACACGACTGGTAAATACAAATCAATCAACATCCCTAGTTAAAATAGCTGTTATTCATGATCTCTTAAATCTTATTTTCCCATGACTTCATATTGCCCCAAATCTTAGAGAAAAACATTACCAAATATTCAACAATCTTGTCGTAGGCTTTTTATAGAAATATTTGAAAATGTTGAAATTATTTCAAATTGTTGGTGTCAAGGTTATGATGTCTTCGATATAGCCTTGAACATCCAGCTGACATTGGTGTACAGATTTTGTGTTTAGTCTGGGACATTCAGTGTGCACTCAGATGTAGTGTTTAGTCCAGAACACTCAGAATATTTTGTTTGAGATGGAGTGTTTGTTGAGGACATCCAGAATGCATCGAATAAGAATTTCATATTCTTTTGTGCATCTATTTGGGTTAATGAAGACAGACAATGCCATGCTGTGTGCAATGTGGGAATTTTGCCAGAACTGTGACATTTGAATTTCCAACTGTCAAGGGCTGTTGAATGTGCATATGTCCCATAAAAGTTTAGTCCAGAACAGCTTTGACAGAGTTTCATTTCAGCTGTCTGAAGTACTGTTAAAAAATGGCACGTCTGGCCAATAGAACAAAATCAACAATCATGAGCAAAAAACTAATTCCAGTCACAAGATGGATGACTTGAGACCTGAGAAAAAACGGCAAGAATAAAGTTATCAGTCAATGTTGCAGTGTTGATAATTTATCTTGTTAGAAAGTTACACCCAGTGTGCAGTTTTCTGTTAATTAATTTAGACACATTTCTTATGAAACAGTTTTTAATGGAATTCAAAGAAAACAATTGAGTGTTTGTCATTGTATATTTTATTGTCCAGTTACAGCAAGAGTGCAGTTTTCTCTCTCAATTAATTTGTCAGTCTTTTAGGCTTTAGATGTATTTCCCAAGAAACAGTTTTTAATTGAATGCAAAGAAAACAATTGTAGTGAACTAGACAATGCTTACTCTTACTCAGCCCCGTCACCAGGAATGAATTGGTGCTGGGGCTCAGGTTTTGTACTCGGAAAATTTGAAGAGTTAAAGACAAGAGAACTGATTTCTGACAATTTAAGGTGCCAAAAACTATCAAAATCTATATCTTTTTGATTTTGTACAAAGACACTGTAAATCAATCAATCTCTGTTGGACTGAAGAAGATTTTGCTGGGGCTTAATTCTCACTTGCTGGTGGCCAGGTCCCACAAATTCCACCCTAACAAAGGGGCTGCTCTTACTACAGACACTTATCTTCATTCTATACTTGTTATATAGTTTTTCTATGGAATGATCCTTCCTCTCTTTCGTAAACACCTAGCTTTTATCATCAAGGCATTCTGGAACATCAGGTTAGCGAACAAGCGTCCCAACTCGCTGAGCCACCATTGCCCCCGTTGCTCAATGAAAGCTCCCTTTATATTCACACTATCTTGCAAAGCAACTGACAGGCAGCAACTGGACTGCACAGGTTTTCTAACACCCAGGGGTCTATTTAAAAAATCCTAACTAAGATGAAAATCAAATGTTCAGAATATATTGCAATCTGATTGGCTATTATAGCTAGATCAATTTATATTATTGACCAATCAGAACACAAGTTGAATTTTTCTGAAACAGGCCTATAACATTATCCAAGAGAATTGTTATATCAATTTTTGAAACTCACAACCTTATAGATAGAGAATAATATCAAATATACAAATCACTTGAAATGTTTTTCACACTTTTGCTCCATATCCACTCCAAAATTTTCTGCGACGTAGAACCTTATCTAATAGAGTGTAATATTCTATATCTGAGACATTTCTTGGTCATATCAAATATACATATCACTTGAAAACATTATCATAAATAACATTGCTAATTAGACATTCACATCTTATCATTACAGACTTCAAATTAAATACTCACCATATTTTTTATTACCTCGCTTCAAATCAGATTATAAAAACTCTCTACAACTTTCCCACAGTTTTGATATCGTGGCGTAATTTAATCACACGTAATTCAAGTCGAGATGTTGAAATTTTACCGAGACCCGTGTATTTTTTATACGATTAGTTTACGGAATTAAACTGTAATTTTCACGTTAACGTTGGCTATAAGAGGGTTAAAGTTCTAATTAGAAATAATCACACGAATAAATAAACAATTTAACCCTGTTTTTTTTTCTGTCATTATTTTGAAACAGTCGAGAATGTTTTTAAATTGAGATTCCAGAAACAGAAAATTTTTGTATCAAATTTAAATTCAAAACATTGGGAACCCCCATTCAGAAATAAATTTATCTAAGGTCAAGGTCATCAGACTTCTTTCATGGCCAATGCTTTTGTAAGTCAACGGTTAAGTTATATAGCAGGTCAGTTGGACATCCATCTGATTAAATTTCAGATCTTGTTTCATTTTATGTTTTTTTGTAGGTTACAACACTTGCTATCAATGATCTGACAAATTTCTTTTTTAAATCGTGTTCTGTGAATTTCGACCAAATGGCATGTGGTACATTTACAATGTCTTTGTCCTGTTATTCCTTTTTCTGCCACTAGCCTAAACTTTCAGATGATGTCGTTGCCTAATTTTCAACAGTCTAGAGCTCCAAAAAGATGTAAAAAAGCTAAAAATTGGATTAATGAAAATATTTTATGTATCTTTTCAGTTTTGTTATTTTACATATGGAACTAAAGATGTGCTAGAGAGAGAGTGTAAACATCTTCATAAAAAATTACAGGTAGGTGGCGTACTGGTTTACTATGTTTATACACCTACATCTCTCAATGTTCTTGGTAACCTACTTAAGGTTCTTTTAATCGGCTTAGGGGTACCAGAAAACAGGCCTTTAGTTACAAGTGACAAGTTGGCCACCCACAAAATGGATTGTCCACCTTAAAAAAATTCTGACAACCTACCAATTCCATTACTGCAATTAAACACCATATACCATTGTCCCTCTGGATACATTACTTGACCTCGGAATAATCAAGTCTGACTACAGTGTTTGCAGCAAATGCATCCTTGGGTACCAAAGAAGACTTTGTAAAACTTTTATTTAGATATTTCTTCATTTATTATTTGACCATATGTGTGTTTAATAATATATATGAGATTACAATTATTAGGAAACACATGTCATACCAAACAAACCCAATTCTACTCCAACATACATCTACATTGAATTGATATAATACTTAACCTAATTTCAATAAAGAATAATGTTAAACTAATGAAAAGAATTGATGTAAACAAAACACAGTCTTATATATTTTATTTACATATTAAACAATTTTTGTTAAATGAATTAGGTACATCTGTAGTAAAGTGGATTTTCTTAAACTTGTCTTTCAAGGGATGTTGTGTACAAAATTTTGCTATTTACATAAATAAAATTTAGCTTTGAATTTTTGTCAAAAGTATGTGTAAAGACCAACTTCAAAGCTGGACATGTTGGAATTTTAATCAGACATGACTGGTGAATATGATCACATCAACAACCTTGAACTGGAATGATGCAAATCAATTCAATAAGTGGCACCAATGAAATGGATTGAATGGAGGTTTAAGTCTTAGTTTTACGCACCATGTGGGCTAATGAAGATGGGCAACGCCATTCAGGGTGCAATAAGGAAACAGTGGCTCTTTTTTGATTTCAAACTGTTGAGGGATCTTTAAGGAGTACAGCCTGTAGCACACGGGGCCTCGGTTTATTGTCCAATCCGAATGACTAGATGCTTGTTCCATGTCAGCCCCTCTTACCTGCATCACTGACAGCTTGAAACCGGGTTAAAAAATCTGAAGGTATTTCCTATACACATAAGAGAGATAGAAAACCTCTATACAATCCCTTAAACAATTATTAACACTTTTTGTAACATAGCATAGTCAATGATATACAACTAGTCAGACATGACTGGTAAATATATCCATATCAACTATTTTATGCAGATAATTTAGAGCACCGTATCCCTTAAATGGTGATTAACACAAATTAAAGTTTTTGCTGGAGATAATTGTTATAAAAATTTAAAAATATTTGTAAATAAATAAAAAGGATGATATTAAATGATAATTTGGTAGTAATATTTAATTATGTTTATTAAATATTCTCATGGTATGAGGTGATATAAAGTTTGACCCAATGTCACCAACACATCTGGAAATGCAACAAAATTTGATTTAAAAACACCGTCAACAGCTGGTGAAGTGAGCGAGATTTCGTTTGATGTCATTTGGTTAAAAAGTACAGTCTTGTTAACTAGTAATAATCATATGAACACCCAAACACTTATTTCATCATTGAAAGCCTGTCATATTTAAGGGGTCTATTAATTCGAATGGGACAATAAACCGAGGCTCTGTGTGCTATATGAATGTTAAAGATCCCTGACAATTTGAAAGTGAAAGAGAGTACGCTTATTGCTGCCGTCCTCATTAATCTTAGTGCACTCTTTATGGTTTGCCAGTTTGCAGAAAAGAAAAAAAGCTCTAGATCTGTTTTTGAATTAGATTGGGACACTCAAATTGTCTCTTATAAACAATGACCTATTACTAATGTGAGATATTAATGTCTTTGATTATAACCTACAAAACATAAAGAATAAAGGCTTTTAGTTTGATTCCTGCAATTCAAACCATGTGTTTTCTATTAGAATTATTGTTTACTATATGAGTCTTGAAATTCATATTTAGGTTTTAACATAATGTAGGTGTTTTAGTTCAGATTTTGTAAGAATAGATTTAAAGATCTTGTTGCAAGTTTCTCTTAAATGTCAATGAAGTACAGCGTGGGGCACCAAATGGGGTGTATTTTGTCATCGAACAGCATATTTTGTACTCTCACTTAAGGCTTATATTTTGACAAAAATGTTATCCAGGATCATTCAAACGAAAGGAATAATGAAACAAGGTATATCTGTAATTGATGAAGATGTAACTAGGGTCTGTTTCTAAGAACAAAAAATCCTGTTGTTTTCATGACATAAAATTATCTCAAGCATATTAACATAAAATATATCTAGCAGATAATTTATTCAGGATTTATAGAAACTTTTTTTCAGGCATTTGCCTCATTTGCCTTGTTGAAGTAACAGCATTACAATCACGTAATTTGCCTGACTGTTTAATCCCCATCTGTCTTCAATGTTTCAGGTTGAATTAGATGGTAAATTAATAGATCTTCCAGAAATTGAAGGTTTAGTGGTACTGAATATTTCTAGCTGGGGTGGAGGGGTCCGACCATGGCAACTCTCTGGTGATGAAGGCAACTTTAAACCTGCCAGGTAAGAATTCAAAGCAATTGAAAAATATATAACATGAGTTATTGCCCTTGATATTTGAAACGTATTCATTTTGTTACCGTTCATCCTAATATTCTTTTTAAAACCAAAGCTTTCTCTCTCGTGGAAGATATACATTTTGATTAGGTAAGCCTGTAAACTTGATGATTTGTTATTGTTGAGGCAGGGCAATACCAATGTATCTAGGACTTTTATATGATGTTTATTTGATATATTTCCTGTGGACACTGGTAACCATGATGGTATGATATTTTATTGTCTAGACTAGTGGAATGAGGTGATAAAAGACTGATCTCTTATAATATTTTTACTGGGATAACTAAATTATAACAACTTTGATAGTACTGTATGGTATCCACCAATTCTTTTGAGGGCAGACTGTTGTTAAGTTGGTTACAGTGATGGAATTTTGAGGTCATCTGCAGAAATAAATAGTGGTCTTGGCAAGCGAAAGTGACATTGAATTTGTCACCTCAATATCTTAGACACCCCAACCCTACACAAATAAGATGAAAGATTATTGTCATGAGATTTTGCCAATGTTCCACATAAAATTTGAGTAGAATTTATGGACAATTCAGAAAAGAACTAATTCCAAGAGGTTTCACCAAGTATCCGATCTGGATGGAAACAATCTGGTATCTGGCTCGAAGTGGTGGATCCAACACAGATTTTCTTAGACTCCCCAACCGTACACAAATACCCATGAAAGAGTATTGTCAGGAGATTCTGTTAATGTTCACAGAGAATTTGAGTAGATTTCATGGACAATTCAGAGAATTCAAAGAATTAATGCCAAGAGGTTTGACCAAGTATCAGCTGGTAGAAAGGATCCTGTCTCGTGGATCCAACATTCATCTTGGGTGAAGAAACATTCAGTGAAATTAACTGGGTCAGCTTCACAAAGTGCCAGAGACCAACAGTGGTGGATGCAGTAGAACACCCCAGGCAAAGCTGGCGCCTCTGTTCTACTTTTCAAAGTCTTGAACCACTCAGTCAAACGTTTTGCATGGAGCTCAATTTTCATTTTATAATCAAAATGATTTTAATTCAATTCCTGCAAGTTCCACTCCCTGGTGCCATTAGAAATGTATAAATAACTTGAGATCTCATCAAGAAATTGAAGTTGTTTAGAATCAGTGTTTATCTGAGATTGATGTTCATCATGTACAACTGTAACAGTTTGTTTAAATTTCATTTGATAAATCTAAAATGTCACTCCATCTTGTTTATAAACATAGAACTTGGTACTTTTAATTTCATCCAAACTTAACATTTCCAGGACCCATTGCTCTAAAACTCCTACAATACAATATGGTCTTTAGTTTAGAATTTTATATCGAAAACTACCACATGAGGCCAGGGTCTGTTGGGGTGGGGGTGGATCTTGAAAGTTTTATAGATAAGACAAGAAAAGTTGTAACTATGATGTATGGGTTACAGAGAGTTAGTTCTTTATTTTATCTGAAACAATTTTAAATTCAAGCTTCAAAGATGGTGTGCTGAGTCAGACAAGTCTCTCACTTTGAAATAAAGACCAAATACTTCATGGGTTTTGGTTTAAATTATGTACCAGTATTTTATATTCCCTCCTCCCCCCTTATGCATCAATTTACCTTGGGTTGTGCTACCAGCTTGCAACTGACTGTATTCATTTTAAGTGTTAGATCTTATCTCATATCTTGGACATATTTTTTTGTTAATTACTTGGCAACAAGTGATACACTGTGATACTATTCAAAGCATATAGATGCTAAATCTTGTAATTAGTGTTTCCTTGAGTGGTATTTAGTAACTGTGGTATGAATATTATGAACACAATTATATAGATAACAATTACTTTAATAAAAAACTTGACATTTTCTTGATGATACTTTCATCTTTCATGTGTCCTTGTTGTAAACATCAAAACTCATTTGCCTTCTATTTCTTACCATCACCAGTCAAAAATTTCAACTTAACAAATATATCATTTTAAATTAAGCATATCTCTTGAAAATGTTAGATATTTTAATGCATAACATAAACAGTTTATGAAAATTGTTAAAAATTAAAACCCATTAAAACTATGTGACATATTCCATCATCATAAATATTGTCCGCTCGTTAAAATGTAAAGTGTTTTTATTTTAATTACCTCGGCTATTGTTCTCAGTGCATTGAGGTCATTAATAAGATAACAGACTGGGTTAACTCCCTTTATACCTTTGAGGATCTCCAATCCGATCCAAATGAGTTTAATATTTCATCCATATAGTCATATTAAAGGATAACATATTAATGTTAGTTTTCTGAAAAGAGATTATTTTCAGCTATCTGTAGCACTTATTAGAATATATTAAAGGGGAGAGGGGAATATACAATGTAAATCCGTACAAAGAAAGACAGGATTTTTTATATTAATTTTTATTGTGAAGCTGTTCCATACTCCTCCTTTTTTAAGAGAATCAACAAACACTATCAGTGATATGAATTTAGAAATTCAGACCATAAGAGATTATAGGTAACTTTTTACTAATGACAAAGTTACGAAAGCACAAACACAGGACTTATAATTTTAAAATTCTTCAATTTAAGTTCTGTAAACTTTTAAACAGCTGTTAATCTGAACGAAATAGAGAAGAGAATGCCTTTTGAATTGGAGTCAAAACAAGTGACTATTCAGAAGAATATAATGGATCACAATATGTGATTTAGCATTTGGGTTAAAATTTTGAATCTTTTGCTAAGATTTTTTATATTATGATGTTGTTTAAAAGCAATGTTATTAGTTATAAAGTTTTTAATAATAAGTAGTGATATATGATAATGTAGTTTAACTTAGACAATCTATATATCATAATATTACTCTTTAATATGTTATTTCACTCTTAAAGATGGGTTTCCTTATTTTTTAGTATCAAATTAAGCAAACTATTTGATTAATTGGTGTTTCTAATGAATTATCATATATTTTTAATCATATCATTATGTTCTTATTGCATATAATTAAGAGTTTTAAACAATCATAAATGTCCATATATGTACAGTCTGGATAAACAGAAAAGACTTTTTGACCTTTCTTGATCGGCCACTCATTGGAATTCTGCTGGTAATTCTCTTTTTATTGAGCTAATTATGAATTAATTATGGACATGTGAGACAAACTGGTATTTTTCCAAGTCATTAGAACACTTCTACTTTCTATTCATATAAGTATTAGCATTTTTATTTTTATAAATGAAAATAAGGGAACCCATCTTGAAATATTCCTTAATGTATTCATCTATCTTACTGAAGTTTTCATTTTGGAGTCTTTTTAAGCTGAAAACACAATTCCAATTGTTTTGGTATTGTAGAGACTTGTGGCTGTCTTTCATGGTTTAATTAAGATTAAAAAATTTGATCAGCAACTTACCACACCAAATTTCAGTTTTAGCTGGGCTTAATTTAGTTAATTTTTTATTCATATTTTTTAAAAATTCAATAGTAATTTAAAATGTTCCAGTACTATCTGATGAAAAAGTATTGAACTTTAAATACAGTATTTCAAAATCAACTTATAGTCTGGTAAGACTTTAATTAGGAATAAAATATCCATTTGATACATTAACTTTAAAACTAAATATATCTAAACTCTGCTAATAATGCTGGTAAAATACTGAGACTGACAGATTAAATCCATCAAAATATTAAAACTGAGCTTTATCCTGAGCTGACCTTTTATAATTGACCACTGACTGGGACAGAGTGATATATGATACCCCATGTCCAGTAGACCCCCAACAGAGACCATTCTCTGTTCTATTGTTCTATTATGAAGACCGTTTGACCATTAATGGTATCAATAAGGACCTGACATCCTCTACCCCTGATGTGTTACAGAAATGAGGTTGAGTTTTATATCCCACTTTTCTATATCCTAGACTTATCAAGTGGGCATTATCATGTCTTATGAAACAATTTGTGAAGGGTATTACATCCTTCAATACTACATTTAGGATAAGAAAGATTATTATTACAGTGTGAAAAGATGGAATTTTTATAATTAATCTCGTCCATTTTTAAAATTCAATTGAGTAGCATCACAGAAGAAAACTTGTTGAATAATCAGTTATTTTGTTTAAAGTATATAGAGAATCAATCGTTTGACTTGTGGCGCCACTGCTAGTCTTGGTGCATTTATGACCCACTTCCCTGTCTTAACATGTGTATAACCAATGTCACCGAACACATGTCCACAGCACCTCATGCAATTGTACAACCGGCGTCTTTGATAGTCCTCATAAGGCGGATAACCCTGCAACCTTTCAAGGTTAATTTGGTATTTAGCATAATATCCCTTTCTGAGAGTTCACATAGGTTATAACAATGCTCATCTTTCCACATAGCTGATAATGTTTATGTTGTTTATTGATATTGATTTATATTTAACTATGTATTAACTTTATATCCTACATGTCAGTGTTATATTGTTTCTTATATACCTCCATACATCCATCATGTAACCATTATAATAAATTTTTTATAACCCTACCCATTATAGATAGCATCTACAGTGTCGTATAAAACAGGGTTTAATAACCAAGTGTGAAATTTAACCCTAGGGTCTTTAATGGCTCGTGAATATTAATAAATTTCTCTTTAAAGTTATATGAATATTGAAAAGTTATTAAAATTACATTAAATATCTAGAATATAAAATTTGGACGTCATAAATTGATAGTGTTTATTACAGATTTGTCCTGAATTTAATATATTTATTAGGGGTTGTAGCCTACAGGGTGTTAGGAAGGGGGTTTGTCGAGCCACACCACAGGAGCTGTGAACTTTTCCTTTCCAGTCAGTAACTTGGCCATTGTGGGTAATCAATGGTATCTAGGAAATTCTGCTTTTCTTAAATTTGGCATTTAAATCATAGTTCTCCAAAATTTGGAAAATTCCATAAATGGCCCAAATTTAAATTATATTGTGAGTCTATTTCATAGACTAGAGTTCATCTT